GTTCCCGGTTCCCCGCTCCCCGTTCCCGGTTCCCCGCTCCCCGTTCCGCACCCGCCGCCGCCGCCATCGCCGCGGCCCCGCCCCCCCGCGACACGTCACGCCGCGTCACGGCCGCGGCAGCCAATCAGCGGCGAGGGGGGCGGGGCAGAGCGACCTGTCGGGCCCCGCCCCGCCCTAACCCCGCCCCCCGCCCTGACCCCCGACCCCCGACCCGCGCCCCCCCCCGCGCCCCCCGCGTCCGACCCCCGCCCGGCCGCGTTGCCCCAGCCCGGCATCCCCGACCCCCGCGACCCCCGCCCCGACCCCGCCGCGACCCCACCCCGCAACACCCCCCAGCTCCGGCATCCCCGCCCCCGCCGCGACCCCCGCCCCACGCCCGGCCCGGCGCCCCCCGCCCCGACCCCGCCCTGCCCCCGGCCCGCCCCCGGCCCGCCCCGGCCCGGCGGTGCCGCCGCTCCCGGAAGCCCCGGACAGGCGGGGCGGGCGCGGGGCCGCGGTGGGAGCGGAGCGGAACCGGACTGGCCATGGTGGGGCCGGGGGACACCGGCGGGGGGGCCCTCGGGGGGCGCCGGGCTGTGCAGGGACGGGCGGGGGGGTCCGCGGGGCAGCCCCCGGGGCTGTTTGGGGGTGTTTAGGGGGTGTCTGTTGTGGGGGGGGGGTGCCCGGGGTGCCCATAGGGTGCGTGGGGGTCCCTCTGGGGGCCCCTCTGGGGTACCCGGGGTGTGCATGGGGTCTGGGGTACATATGGGCTGCCAAGAGTGTCCCCGGGGTACTTGGGGAAATGCCTGTGGGGTGCCTGGGGTGGATACTGGGGGCATATGGGAGTGTACGTGGGGTGCCAGGGGGTACCCACGGGGTGTGAGGGGTGCTTGGGGGGTCCCTCTGGGGGCTCTGGGGGGTGGGGGGGGGTCGGGGATGCCCGTGAGGCACTTGAGGAAGTGCCCAGGGTGCTTTGTGATGCCCATCAGATGCTTAGGGGTTCCTCTGCGGCTTCTGGAGTGTGTGTGGGGGATCTGGGATGCCTATAGAGTGCTGGGGGTGCCCAGGGAACCCACAGGATGTCTGGGAAGTGCCTATGAGTGGTTGGGTTGAACGTGGGGCACTTGTGGGGTGCTCAGGGCACCTATGGGGTGCCCAGGGTGCCCACAGGGGGCTTGGTGGGTACTTTTGGGGTGCCTGGAGGGTACCCAGGGTACATAGAGGGAGCTGGGGGGTGCCTGGGGTGTCCTTGCAGGGTTTGGTGAGTCCTTGGGGTGTCTGGGATGTATGTGAGTGCTCAAGGGGTGCCCATGGAGGCTTGGTGGGTGCTCGGAGTGTCTCTGGGGTGCCTGGGGGGTGCCTGGGGGGGCTGAGGGGTTCCCGGGGTGCCCATTGGGTGCCTGGGGGGGGTGTCTGGGCTGCCTGGGGGGTGCCCAGGGTGCGTGTGGGCTGCTGGCAGTGCCCCCTGAGCCCTGCCCCGTGCTGCAGGCAGTGGTCCCAGCGGGGGCCCCAGAGGGGGACCCGACAGATGCCACGACGGGGGACGGGCGCGTGCGGGCGCTGCAGAGGGAGGTGCAGGGGGTCACCACCATCATGACCCAGAACGTGGAGCGGATCCTGGCACGGGGGGAGAACCTGGAGCAGCTGCACAGCAAGAGCCAGGACCTGGAGGCCACCGTGAGGGGGGCACAGGGGCACTGGGGTGGGCACTGGGACCCCAGGGTGGGCACAGGATCATTGGGGTGAGCATGGGGTCATTGGGGTGGGTATGGGGTCATTGGAGCGGGCATGGGGTCATTGGGGTGGCACGGGGTGGCACGGGGTCACCAGTGGGGCAACAGGGTCATCAGGGTGGGCACAGGGACCCCAGGATGGCACAGGATTCCCAATGTGACATGGAGTCCCCAAAGTGGGCACAGGGCCCCCGAGGGGACACAAGGTCCCTAAGGTGGCATGGGGTCGCCAGGGTGGTCACAGGGTCATTGGGGTGGGCACAGGAACCCCAGGGCGGGCATGGGGTGATCAGGGTGGGCACAGGGTCCCCATGATGGGCACAGGGGCTCTGAGGGGATCACAAAGCCCCCGAGGTGGCACAGGACTCCTGGGGGGGCACAGGGTCCCTGGGGTGGGTGCTGGGACCCCGGGGGGGGAACACGAAGTCCCCAAGGGGGCTGCAGGGTGCCCAGTGGGTTGGCATGGGACACTTGGGTGGCAGGAGGTGACCCCAGGGTGGCAGCGGGGGTCCCCAGGGTTACAGTTGGTGTCCCTGGGGTGGCAATGGGGTGTCCCCAGGGAGTCAGGGGTGTCCCCAGGGTGGCAGTTGGTGTCCCTGGGGTGGCAGGGTTGTCCCCGGGGTGGCACTTGATGTCCCTGGGGTCACAGCAGCTGTCCCTAGGGTGGCAGTGGGGGCCCCAGGGTGGCAGTGGGGCGTCCCCAGGAGGTCAGAGCTGTCCCTTGTGTGGCAGTTGGGGTCTCCAGAGTAGCAGGGTGTCCCCGGGTTGGCAGTGTTGTCCTTGGAGTGGCAGCTGAGTGTCCTCAGAGTGGTAGTGGCTGGTCCCCAGGATGTCATGGGTGTCCCTGGGGTGGCAGAGGTGTCCCCAAAGGGGCAGTGGGTTGTCCTCAGGGTGTGAGGGCTGTCCCCAGTGTCTCAGCAGGTGTCCGCAGGGTGGCACTGGGTGTGTCAGGGCTGTCCCTGGGGTGGCAATGGGGTGTCCCCAGGGTGTCAGTGGGTTGTCTCCAGGGTGTCAGGGGTGTCCCCATGTCCCCGCAGTCGGAGCACTTCCGCACCACGTCCCAGAAGATGGCCCGGCGCTACTGGTGGAAGAACGTGAAGCTGCTCGTCATCCTCGGCCTCGTGGGCGCCATCGTCCTCATCCTCATCATCCTCCTGGCCACCGGCACCATCCCCACCTAGAGCCACTGTCCCTGCAGGGACACGGCCACCCTGGAGCTGAATACACAGGGGGGGGACAAGACAGAGGGACTCGTGTGTGTGTGTGCTGGGGGGACATGGGGGACACAGATGGGCACGGGAGGATGGGCATGGGGACATGGGGGGCACACAGGGACATGGGGGGATGGACATAGGGGGACACAGGGACACAGACATGGGGGCACTGGGGACAGGTATGGAGACATGGGAATATGCGTGAGGAGATGGGGGGACACGGCGAGGGACAGGCCCTGGGGACACGTGGGGATGTGTGTAGGGACACACACATCAGTCACGAGGGGAACACGCGTGGGGACGCGGGGGGGGGCCAGCAGGTGCCATGCCAGGGCGTGGGGGTGGTGCCAGGCACAGAGGGACAAAGGGCGCAGTGTGGTGGTGGTGGCACTGCCACCCTGGGGGGGCTGGGACGGGCGGGGGACAGGGACATGGGGGGACATGGGGGGCCCAGGGTGGCCCCGTATCTGCAGGGACTTGGGGACACCAACGTGTGGGGGGGCTGTGAGGACCCATTTCTGGGGGACAGGGTGGTCCCTGGGGGACCCGTCTGTGGGGCCTGGGGACATGGGGGTCTCTGGGGGGCAGGGAACACCCCAGTATTCGGGGGCCTGTAGGGATGGGGTGGGGTGTCTCGGGGACATGGGGGTCCCTGGGGGGCAGGGAACACCCCAGTATTTGGGGGCCTGTGGGGGGAAGGTGTCTCTGGGAACATGGGGGGCCTTGGGGGCTGTAGGGACAGGAGGGTCTCTGATGGACCCACATCTGGGGAAACCTGGGGACATGGGGGTCCCGGGGGACCCCGCAGCTGGGGAGGGTTGAGTGGGGTGTCCCGGGGACCCCCACCCCGGGCGATAGGGCCGGGATGTTCAGAGGACACCTGGAGACACTCGGGGCTGGTGTGGGGGGGGCGGTCCCGGTCCCTCCCGTCGGGGGCGGCCGCTGGAGCCTGGGACGGGACGGGACGGGACGGGCGCTCCGGGACCGGGCACCGACCTCGGGACCGGGACCGACCTCCGGGACAGCACTGAGCCCCCGGGACCGGGACCATGGTGAGTCCCGGGCCGCCACCGCCGCTTTCGCTTTCGCTTCCCGAAGGGCGGACCGGGATCGGGGAGACCCCGGGCTCGGAACTCCCCGGAGCCGGTCCCGGTGCCAGTCCGTCCCCCAGGGCTGTCCCTGCGGCCCCCCTCGGGGTGGCCGGTGCGGGACTTTGTGTCCCTCTGCCTCTGCGTGTCCCGGCCCCCGTGTCGCCTGTGTCCCCTGCCGCACCCCGTCCCCGCCAATCCCTGTAATCCCGGTGTCCCCGCGTGTGCCCCGACCCCGCAGGGCCCGTGTCCCCCCGATCCCCGTCCTTGGCCCCTGTCCCCACGGTTTCCTGTCCCCGTGGTCCCTGTGTGCCCCCTCCTCGCAGTACCAGTGTCCCCGCGGTGCCCTCGTCCCCACGGTCCCCGTGTCCCCACGGTCCCCCTGTGCCCCTTCCTTGCGGTGCTCTTGTCCCCACGGTCCCTGTGACCCGTGGTCACCCTTTGTCCCCGGATTGCCAGTGTTCCCATGGTCCCCGTGTCCCCATGATCCTCATGTCCCCATGGTCCCCACCGTCGGTGTTCCCCTCGTGTCCCTGTGGCAGCTCCGTGGCCCCACAGTCCCAATATCCCCATGGTCGGTCCCCGTGTCCCCACGGTCCCCCTTCCCCGCGGGTGCCCCCATCCCCAGCGTTCTCGCAGCGTCTCCCCCGTGTCCCCACGGTGTCCCCCCACGTCCCTTGTCCCCCCGTGTGTCCCCAGGCGGGGCTGGCGCGGTGCCAGCGCCAGGCGGAGGAGGTGACCGAGCTGATGCGGCAGAACGTGGCGCGGGCGATGGAGCGGGAAGGGCACCTGGAGCGGCTGCAGAGCCGGGCCCAGGACCTGCGACAGGCGGTGGGACCGCGGGGACGGGCGGGGACACGCGGCTGGGGACGGGGGTGGCACTACAGGGACACACAGACCTGGGGACACACACGGCCGGGGATGGTGGCATTGTTGGGACACCTGGAGTGGCTGCAGACCCGGGCTTGTGACCCCGGGGACAACATGGCCAGGGATGGGAGTGGCACTGTAGGGACATACAGCCCTGGGAAGGGACACACAGAGCTCTGGGGGGGCATTATAGGGACACATGGCCCGAGGGGGACACACAGAGCTCTGGGGGGCATTATAGGGCTGTGGAGCCCCAGGGAGGGGCCACAGGGCCATGGAGGGGCTGTGTGTCACCCCTGTGGGCTGTCCCCCCGTACCCCCTGTGTCCCATTGCAGAGCGAGGCCTTCACCCGCAGCACCCGGGCGGTGACACGGCAACAGCGCCGGGGACAGCGCCGGTGGCTCCTGGTGGCCCTCGGCCTCGGCCTCTTCCTCCTCCTCCTCCTCCTGGGCCTGGGCCTGGCACTGACCCTGGCACGGTCACCTCCAGCCACTGCCACCGTCCCCACCCCGCAGGCACGGACTGAGGCCCCCCCCCAGCACCACAGGGACCCTTTGACAACAGAGCAATGGGGGGGGCCCCATGATAAATAAACAGCAGGACTGTTTGGGCAGACCCTACCATAACAAACCACTGGGGTGATCTTCAGGGAGACCCTACAACAAATAAGCACCAGGATCTCATTCGGGGAGACCCGACAATAACAAACCTGCAGGATGAGCTCTAGGGAGACCCTACAACAAATACACACCCAGATCTGCTTTGGAGAGACCCTACAATAATAAACATGCCAGACCTTCTTTGGAAAAACTGTACAAGAACAGAAGAGCAGGACCCACCCAAGGGAGACTCTGTAATAAACACCAGGAGCTCTTTGGGGAGACCCTACAAAAACAAACCAGCAGGACCCACTTCAGGGAGACCCTACAATAAACCAGCACCAGTACACAATTTTGGGAGACCCTACAATAACAGAGCAGCAAGACAAGCTCCAGGGAGACCTTACAATAATGAACATGCTGGACCCACTCTGGGGAGACCCTACAACAAATAAGCACCAAGACTTGCTTGGGAAGGCTCTACAATCACAAACCAGGAGGACGAACTTCAGGGACACCCTACAATAAATAAATAACCAGGATCTGTTTAAGGGAGACCCTATAATAACAAAAGCTCCAGAATCTGCTTTGTAGACACATTAGAAAAACAAACCAGCAGAATGAGTTCTGGGGACACTCTACAATAAATAAACACCAGGACTCATTTGGAAAGACCCTACAATAACAAACATGCTGGACCCCCTCCGGGGATACCCTACAACAAAAGCAGTGGGATGATCTCCAGGAAGACCCTACAATCAACAAACACTGGGATGTGTTTGGGGAAAACCCACAATAACAAATAAGGGGGATTGATTTGGGGTAGACCCCACAATAACAAACCCATGGGATCTACTTCAGAGAGACCCTACAATAGATAACCACCAGGATTTATTTGGAGAGACCCTACAATAACAAGTCATCAGGATGATCTTCATGGAGACCCTACAATAACAAATGTGCTGGACCCACTCTGAGGAGACCCTATGGTAAATAAACACAAGGAATTGTTTGGGGACAGCCTATGATAACAGAGAAACTACAATAAATAAGCTCCACAGTCTGTTTTTTAGAGACCCTATAATAACAAACCAGTAAGTTCAGCTCCAGGAAGATCCTACAATAAATAAGCACCAGGACCTGGTTTGGGGAGACCCTACAATAACAAAACAATGGGGCGATCTTCAGGAAGACTTTACAATAGCAAATGTACACTCTGGGGAGACCCTACAATAACAGAGCAGCAGGGTGACCCCTGGGGAGACCCCACAATAAATAAGCACCAGCATCAGCTTTGGGGAGACCCTACAATAACAAGTGCACCAAACCCCTCTGGGGACATCCTGTGATATGTAAGCCCCGAGAATTGTTTGGGGAGACCCTATAGTAACAAACAAGTGGGATCTGCTCAGAGTAGACCCTACAATAACAAAGAGATCCTATGATAAATAAGCACCAGAATCTGCTTTGGGGAGACCCTACAATAATGAACCAGCAAGGTGATCTTCAGGGAGACCCTACAATAGCAAATGGATCCTACAATAAAAAAACCACCAAAACCTACTTAAGGTAGGCCCTACAATAATAGCTCCTTGTGCCTTCTCTTGAGAAACCCTATAATACCAAAGCAGTACGATGGTCTCCGTGAAGACCCTACAAAAACAAACGTGCCAGATTCTGCAGGGAGACCCCAGGACTTGCCTTGGGGAGACCCTACAATAACAAACCAGCAGGACCTCTTCAGGGAGACCCTACAATTAATAAGCACTAGCATCTTGTTCTGGGAGACCCTACAATAACAAACTAATGATATGATCTCTGGGAAGACCCTACAATAACAAACATGACAAAGCTACTCTGGGGAGACCCTACAATAAACAAACACCATGACTCTTGTTTGGAGACACCCTACAATAATGAAGCAGTAGGACCCACTTCAGGGAGACGTGATGATAACAAATGAGCTGGACATTTTCTAGGGACATCCTACAATAAATAAACATCAGAACCTGCTTTGGGGTAAACCCTACAATAACCCCCCACTGTGCCTCACTGCTGGGAGACCCTACAATAACAGAGCAATAGGGTGATCTCCAGGAAGACCATATGATAACACCCCCTTCGTTGCACCCAGAAGACCCTACAATAACAAAGGGCCCTGATTCAGGGAGCCCCAACCACAACAGACCCCTCCACAACACACTCTGGGGAGACCCTACAATAACACACCAGTGGTACCCAACCTGGGGACACCCCGCCTTGGCCACAGGTGCCACCAACCTGGGCCAGGGGCAGGAGGGGGCTGTGGCCCCCCAGAGGGGTCCCTGGTGACATGGTGACATCGGGGAGGGGACCCCAGGGAGGGGACAAGGGGGTCCCTGGGCAAACAATGGCACCAGGGAGGGGACAGAGGGGTTGGGGGGACATGGCACCATGGTCACCTACACAGGGTCACCCTGGCAAGGGACTCTGAG